CATGCTCATTCCAGCCTGCATGGTTGAACTCTCGCTGACATTGACACTGGGCTGTGTTTCCTGGTCGCTGGAAGAGAGCTCGAGGGCTGGATTCCTCCAGTTCCCGCAGGGCCGCCCTGTCTGGTCAGATAGATGGCCTAGGGCTTCACAGGCTGGATTAGACATGCCCAGTCAAGCAGTGAAGTCCCACTCTATGATTGATAAGAGGGACAAACTTTCCGCAGTCTGAGCTGTGGTAGGCTTTAAAATGCTCAGCTGAAGAAGCTCAGGGTGTAGAGTCCTCATAAAGCAACCTGGGTCCATTTTTACTTACTTCATTTGTTTATTTAACAGCAGCGATGCACATTATAACAAATTCGCCAGATTTAGCCAAATGTCAAACCTGCTGTCACTGTTTAAAATTTGAGCGCACATAACATGTTGTTTTCCAACTACACATGTTTTTTTTCCATGTTGTTTATTTGTTTGTGTTTTCCCAGAGCTGTGTTTACTCAATGGGAAAAAGGGAGCAGTCTAAATGGAGTCACTTGACCTTCATTAAGTATTTTTCACACTCATTTAAAGGTGGGCTGTGTTTGGTGCCTAGCCAAGTGAGTCATTTTGTAAATAACTAGGTGGAGAGATTTTTTTTTTTTTTGCTTCTTTTCTTGATTCCCTCCATCATGTTTTAGCTGCGACAGTGGACAGAAGAACATTATTGTAAATGGTAAATGCTGAAGTTTGGAGGTGATGCAGCTCACTAGATTTGTTTCTGGGTTGCCCCTCTTGTGGGTGGGAGATGTGTCACTTCCTTTTGCCGTTATATCATCAGCTCCTGTTGTGTGGGTGCAGTATTTTCAGCATTGGCATAATGAAGCTGGGTTTTCTTCATAACGCCCATGCACTGCTCCCTGCTTTGTTACTGTTCATTCACCAGGATGGAATTGTTGCCAGGTTTTTTTTTAACTATTACTGCTAAAGCTGAACTGCCCAGCCAGTGATCTGGCCCAAGGTGGACATTGGCAGTCCAATGAGAGGGAGATTTACGCGCACAGGGAGAAGTTTTGGCATATCATATTAGTAATTTCATTTTTTTTCTACGGCTCTGAACAAGTCATGATAAATGACAAATAGAAATGCTCCATATAAAATTATAATTAATAATAAAATGTATTTACATAAAAATTAGAGGTGCACTGATCATATTTTTTTTATGGCCGATTCCGATTTCTTTACAGCCAAATTGGCTAGTGGACGATTTTAAATAGCCTTTTTTTCACACTGTTTGGGATAAATGAACACACACAACACACTAGCATGTTTCCAGTCATTTCTTTTAGCCAGAGTCACAAAATAACATTACTGGATCTTTAATGGGCCAAGCTGGTATTTTCCTTTCTTAAATGAAAAATCATTTACCTAAATAAACATCATGAATCCAATAAAGTGCTACATCAAAAGTAAGAAAGAGACGACTGGCACTTTAGCACAATTGGTCGTGCATAATTATGCTAGATTTTGGTAGCAGTGTTCACATATAGCACTAGTGCACTTACCTGCCTCTCGCTTATGTCATGAAATTGAAGCATAGATTGACCAATTCTCTGATTGCTTATTAGAACAAAAATCGTCCAATCTTGGCCAATTTTGATTTTGCATTCCTTAACTAATGTATATCAAAGTTAAAGCTGCACTATGTAAGTTTTGTGAATTTGGACAGTGTTACCCACAGGATATTGTGAGATTTCGGGGGGTTGACCTCACACAAACCTACTAGGGGGCACCGGGGGCATGTTCCCCCCAAAGAAAATTTTTTATTTTTTTTTATTTTTTTATTAAATTAAGATATTTGGACTTCATGCTCTGAACAATTTTGTGCCTTAGTAATTTAATCATAAACACACTGGTTGTATGGGTATGAATGGTGATGACCCAGCAAAAAGGTCACATTAGCTAACATTACAAATAGCCTAACGTTACAAGAAAAGCCAATTTGCACCTCAGAGGCTGAAAACAGTTACGCTGTCAGAGCACCTGCATGACAATCTTGTGTGTTAACAAGGACCTTAACAAAGAATCTCATCTCAGAACTCACTGAAATATCAATCGCTCTGGTTGGAGCATGCAGTCTTATTTAGAAGGATGAAAATACACTACCGGATGTGTTAGCAGCATTGATGTCAACTTTTCTGACTCAGAAGCAAATTAAAACTCTGCAAATTCAGCAGCGCACTGTTTTACAGTGAGGAGACGAGAGTCAGACGCACTGTCGTTAACATTCCCTAGCTAAGCCAAAGTTAGATTAACGTTAATTATGAAGCATAACGTCTGCTGACTGGTAGTGAGAAATGCTTTTCTGAAGCAACAGAGAAAAACACAATGTTGTTTGTTATGATAAGAGTGCAAAGATATTTTCAGTTCATTATGAAACTGGCAGGACAAATTAGACCATAGTGGGCTAGGGTGGGTAGTTAATGGTAAACATCGCTTGTGGAAATGTGTAATGTTGAGAATCGTTTTATTTTCTTTATTTTTTTATTTTCTGTTGTTTTTCTTTAAGTTGTTATTCATTGTTAAGCAGTATTATTGCTGAAGGGTTGTTTTGAGAAGTCACTTATATTCTGTTCTCATGGTTTGAACCATAACAACAAATGACCTTTACGATGCCCCTAAAGAGGATTCGGCCTTCCCGGGATAGAACACTCGGTTTACAACACTAAGGTATTCATAACAGGATCTGAGTCCCTGAGAAAGCCAAATCTGTCCTTTCATGACAGGATCTTAGGCTTTGAGAACTCTGACTTCAGTTTTACGATGGTAGTAAGGGTCCAGGGTGGGAAGCGGGGGGCGTTCAATGGCAAAGTATAAAAGCTGTGTGTAAATCATGTTTTTAGAGTTTACAGACAGGTTGCATTTAACCCAGATATAAACAGGCCGCTTTGCTCCTCACTATGCGTTTTCTTTTTGGAAATGAGAGCCAACTGAACATTAGATCCACCCTTGTTTTGTATGTATTGTAGTAGTGAAGGAAAAAGACTAATTAACAGATTAACAGATTAAAAACAGATTAAAAGATTAATTAACAAACCTAGCAGCACTGAATTACTCTAAATGGTTCCTGAAGCCCATCGCTTGGCGAAGGCTTCAAGCTGAGATAGTGTGAGACCCATATCATTTTATTGCATTTATTTACACACAGCGGGCTCTGTGGCGCATAACAGGTGGTGCGATCACTCTAGTGGCGTGCTTCCTTTGGTGCTTCGTATCTCATGATAAATGTAAACAGATGTCACCTGTGTGACTCTCAACTTAGCTGTGACTGTCACGTCTGATGAGATGCACATATACACTTTCATGCGCATGCTGTAATGTGTGCTATATAGCCATGCAACTGTACAAATGTACTTTAAAGGGCCCATATTATAGACATTTTTATTTACATTACATTTTTTAAATAAAGAGTATTCGATGTAGAATATAAACATTTCAAGTCTCAGGCTATACGGTCCATACTCATGGAAACTAAGCAGCAAAAACATCTACCTATTCGGCTTACGCTATTTTAGCCCCACCCATTCACACTGAAAGTAAAAAGAGTGTTTCAGATTCAGTATTATGAGTGCTTTTCAACTGAGGCACAATACAGGGCAGCCCGGTCAGGATTTAAAGGGCTCATATCCTACATCTTTTACATTATTACATACATTATTTATAACATTTGTGAGGTTTTATGTGCCAAAACAGCTGTAATTCATGTTAATTTTATAAACAATAATTTTCCAATATCTCTTCATGAATTAAACAGGCATTTTTGATTCTGTGCCTTTAAGACTGCTGCATATAAATTGTCTCTGTTCTGATTGGCCCTCATTCAGAAATCAAAACAGGCCGAAACACCCCTTATAACTTCATAGTTAGTTAGCAGGGCTAAACTGCTTTAGTCTGAATCAGCGGATATGTGTAAAGGTGTTTCAAACACAAATTTATATATATCTACACCACTCATTAAACATTATGACCACCTCCTTGTTTCTACGCTCATTGTCCATTTTATCAGCTCCACTTACTCTATAGGTGCACTTTGTAGTTCTACAGTTACAGACTGTAGTCCATCTGTTTCTCTGCATACTTTGTTAGCCCCCTTTTACCCTGTTCTTCAGTGGCCAGGACCCCCATGGACCCTCACAGAGCAGATACTATTTGGGAGGTGGATCATTCTCAGCACTGCAGTAACACTGACGTGGTGGTGGTGTGTTAGTGTGTGTTGTGCTGGTACGAGTGGATCAGACACAGCAGTGCTGCTGGAGTTTTTAAACATCTCAGTGTCACTGCTGGACTGAGAATAGTCCACCAACCAAAAATATCCAGCCAACAGCGTCCTGTGGGCAGCGTCCTGTGATCACTGATGAAGGACTAGAGGATGACCAACACAAACTGTGCAGCAGCAGATGAGCTATCGTCTCTGACTTTACATCTACAAGGTGGACTGACAAGGTAGGAGTGTCTAATAGAGTGGACAGTGAGTGGACATGTGTTTAAAAACTCCAGCAGCACTGCTGTGTCTGATCCACTCGTACCAGCACAACACACACTAACACGCCACCACCACGTTAGTGTTACTGCAGTGCTGAGAATGATCCACCACCCAAATAGTACCTGCTCTGTGAGGGTCCATGGGGGTCCTGACCACTGAAGAACAGGGTAAAAGGGGGTAACAAAGTATGCAGAGAAACAGATGGACTACAGTCTGTAACTGTAGAACCACAAAGTGCACCTATATAGTAAGTGGAGCTGATAAAATGGACAATGAGTGTAGAAACAAGGAGGTGGTCATAATGTTATGCCTGATCGGTGTAGATATATGTCTTTTAACTATTCACAGTAATTTCAGCTACATATAGCACCCGTTCCACATCCTTTTTGCTACTGATAGATCATTTTGTGCATTGTGTGCTTTATATACCAAGAGAAATTCTTTCTTTATCTTGTATTTAGTGATTCTGATTCTTTCTTCTCAACAGCTGGAGCAGCTGTTCATCAGCTTTGAGGAGAAGCCCCAGGGGGCAGCGTCTTTAGCCCAGGTCCACAAGGCGGTTCTGCCCGACGGCAGGACAGTGGCTGTCAAAGTACAGCATCCGAAGGTCCAGGCTCAAAGCTCCAAGGACATTGTTGTGATGGAGGTGAGCATAAAGTAAATGGCGCAGCTTGCGGCTAGTTACTGCAGGCTAATTCACACACTCTGTCACTGTCACATGGTCACATATAGCCTGATCAGAGCCAATCTAATACCTCCATTAGTGTTTAAATAACAAACCCATCACTCACCCTATGGTTTTATTCATGTTACTGCAAATGGCCGTCCAACCATGCATATACAGCTTCATCTGTTATACTGATCATATAACACCATCTGCAGTAGAATCATCCAATATCAGTACCTGAGCTCACTAATGCTCTTGTGGCTGAATGCAATCAAATCCTCACAGCAATGTTCCGACATTGAGTGTAAAGCCTTCCCAGAAGAGTAGAGGCTGTTACTGCAGCAAAGGAGGACAAACTCCCTATTAATACCCTTCATTTCAGAAGAGGTCTTATATGAGCAGGTGTCTGCAGACTTTTGGTGTAGACAGCAGTCCTGTTGTCAGAAACTGACCAGTGATAAATAGGGTAGCTGAACCTCATGAATGATGAGTGGAAGTAAAACATATGGGTTTCTGATAAAGCGGACAGTGATTATACATAGGTCACTTGTATATAAATGTGGCCTGATTTTTTTTTTGTTTTGTTTTTGAATGATATGCTTGTTTTTGTGCGCAGTTCCTGCTGCAGGTGGTCCACTGGCTCTTCCCTGACTTTGCGTTCATGTGGCTGGTGGAGGAGGCTAAGAGGAACATGCCTCTGGAGCTTGACTTCCTCAATGAAGGCCGAAACGCTGAGAAAGTGGCCTGCATGCTCAAGCAATTTGACTTTCTTAAGGTTTGTGCAAGCGCATACACTCACTACACAGATTACTTTGGTGCTGCAGTTTAGACCAGGTGGGCTACCAGTAGTAGTCTCAGACACTGGGAAGACTCTGACACTGACACAGTATAGACTTTGTAGGTCTGTCAGCTACAAACAATCATTCATAACACTAATATTTTTATTTCAATGTTTTGTCTATTTATTGCTTTGAGTGTGAGTGATGCGTTTTCCTGTGTATCTAAATTGGAATAATGACCAAATGTCAATGTGTTTGCCGGTTGTATTAGACCAGTGTATATACAGTGGGAACCAAAAGTTTGAGAGCACATTGAAAATCTGGGAAATTTATTTTTTAATCCTGGAAATATAGAACAGAACCTTTCAGAATTTTGAAAAAATTGAACAAAGAAACGTTAAAGAAATAATTTCTAGATCACTATTCAAATTTAAGGATATTTGTGACATTGACCATTGAATAGGTCATTTTTAAACTCTCATCTCTATTCTATCAATGCTAATCATACACTAGAAGACTTTCAAAAGACTTTTGAAAGACTAAAGTCTGACACCGTCTCACACCTAAAGACATTGTCACAGTTTTTAGTCACACACTATGATTTTGCAAAGACTGGGGATCTTGCAGGGTCACTATTAGCTAGATTTTTGCCCATCATGCACCTGGTGGAAATTTACAAGCAGAGAAACCTTTTTCTTTCTCCACTCTGTAGTAATACAAATGGGAAGACACGTTGGCCCGGGCATGTAAAGATCTGGGGCTCAGCTCAGTTCACTGTATATTCTGGCAGATAATCACCCAGAATTTTTACAATTAACCTGTAAAATATGTATTTACCTTTTTATTTAACATAAAGATTTACATATTAACAAAACATGCAGTGATTCAGCATTGTTGACTGGGTGTTATGAACGAAACCATAAAAACAACGAAAATAAGAAAACACTGCAATTGAAAGCAAAAAAAAAAAGAAAACATTGATGATTATTCAGTAATGCTACTCTTAAAGTCCGCTGAACATTTCCTTACATCACTGTTATTCTCAGTGAACTTTAAATATTAAAACAGTCAGTTTATATTTTTAGGTAACTATGATTATTGTTTCAAAGTGGAGCAGATTTGCATATATTTTTTCGCATATATTCTCTCTCTCTCTCTCTCTCTCTCTCTCTCTCTCTCTCTCTCTCTCTGTCTATCGTGCTCCCCGCTCGTTCTGTCACACGCGCCCCTGTCACATCACTATTTGCATGAGCCAAGACTTAAAACTTATGACAATATTAAACACATTTAAGGGTTAAGACCATGATCTTGACCACTTCACACTAGCTTATCGAGATGACGCGAGTGCGACGCGACTCTAGCAAGATTCTAATGATTTTATTCCGACATGGGAAATTTGTCTGTGACAATGAAATCGCTTGAAAAGTCGTTTGATGTAAGGCCGGCATAAAACTCATGTTCAGATGACTCTCAGGTGGATTTGATCTAATAATTTACACAAACTCGAATAAGCTCGAGTGCACGCTGTCATTAAAGGAAAAGGGGGACAAACAGAATACTGTTCAGTCTAATGTCACATAAAGGTCACATTTAAAAGATGTGAACAGCCAAACCAAAAAAATCGGATTTGGTGAGACAATCAGATTTGGGCCACTTTTACCTGCTGTGTGAATGTAGCTTAACTAGCACTCTAAACCAGGATTAAGCTTTGAATAAAAGCGCTATTAACAAGCCATGTATGCGCTGAATCTGGAGTGTTAAGCTAGGGAGAACATTCTAGCCTTCAATTCAAGGCCCTTCAGTTTGACACATCTGGCCAAAACTATTGTTTTCTTTGACTGGACTGAAAGGGCTCTTTCTGAGACGTTCATTAAATGTCCTGTCAAACCAGCACATTATTAATTTATAGTTCCAGTACAGTCGAATAAAAAAAATCAATAGTGTTTGTGTGTAATCCGCCCCTGTGGACCTCTACTCTTCCTGAGTCATTGCTTTTGTTTAGAGTTGTTGAAATCTGAGATTCAACAGATTCAAGTTTTTGGGTTTATTTTTCAGTTTCTTCCAACATTTTAGCGTCTCTGTTTTTGCTCTCTTCTGCTTTTTGAACTGCATTCTTGTCAGTTGATGAACTGATCTATTCATTGTTAAAAATGAGAGGGCAGCTCAACTGAAAATCATATAGTAACTGATTACGTGGCTTTTCTTGAGTTGACTCAACTTGAGGACACAAGAGTTCACACAACTCAAACTTCTTAGTTGAGTCAAAAGTTCTCTTAATTTTTTAGTTCTGCGACTCAGTGAGGTAAATATAATGAACTTGTTTTTTATACTCAACTTCCCCACCAGCCAGGACTCTCTCCATCACACAATCCCACTAGACATTTTTCCTCTTGGGTACACACTTATGGACGGCTATGGCATTGCTGGGACTCAAACAAACAACCTCCTGTTGGAGTGATGGCTTAGTCCACTGCACCCCTCAGGAACACATGAGGCAACTCAGATTTTGTGTCTATAAATGTTTAACACACTGGAGGAAATATCTGTTGTTTTAACTTTAAAGCACGGCATCGTCTCATGGTGCTGTCTAACTGTCTGATAGTTCATACCAACATCAGGAGGTTGTGAGTTTGAATCCCAGCAATGCCACAGCTGTCCATATCCAGAGGAAAATATACCAGATGGGACTGTGTGATAGAAGGAGCGCCAGCTGGTGGAGAAATTGCAAAAAAACACATTCAGTTTTGTTTATCTAACTGAGATGCAGACCTAGAAACAGTAGCTGGGAGAATTTTTGACTCAACTAAGAAGTTTGAGGTGGGTGAACTCTGGTGTCCTCAAGCTGAATCAACTCAAGAAAAGATGTAATCAGTTACTGTATCATTTTAAGTTGAACAGACTTCTCATTTTTCACAGTGTTGATCTCTTGCTTAAGACATCCTCAGGTGACTGTGGTTTAGTGAGTAGATGTTAAATTTCCTCCTTTTAGTAAATCTGTATTTTGTGAAGTCTCTATATTCCCCCAGCCTCTGTTCTCTCACCAAGAATAAAGCCGAGCGTTTCTCACGCCAGGCGCAAGCAGTCATTTTTCTCAGCTACACACCCTGCATTAGAGCGACCCTATATTTCCCGGCGGTAAGATGACTTTGCTAGGTAAATAATCTGTCATAACAATTGCCGAGTGCTCTCGGAAAGAGCCCTGTTTCATTTTTAATGAATAACAAAGAGACTCGGCTGGCCCTGGGGGCTAATCAGAAGTGCGAGGGTCTTACATCTGCGGATCTGCAGCTTTACTGTGCAATATTAGCTTTCTCTAAACTCCTGACAGCAGAGTAGCGGCCCTCGTGTCAGGAACAAATCCCCGCCGCTGCATGACTGACTCTCGCGCCGTTTTAACAAGCCTGATTATACAGCCAGACGCAATCACTGCCTTTCGGAGCACGTGGCACCTTTTTTTGCGGTCCACTGCTGAAGGAATGTCTCTGTTGAAGTAGCTCAGGTGTGTTTATCTCCAGTGTCCGCATGATAAAGTGCAGTCCTGGGTTTGATGCGGAGGGCCGGCTGCAGATACAGGCCGCGGCCAGACCACACTATCAGCCAGAGCCTGCGGCCAAAAACTTCATACAAATGGGGCGAAGTGGAGGTCGTACTCCAGGGACAAAAGCAATGAGGACCCGGGGAAGTGAGATGAGTAGTCAGAGTGTTTATAGGCATTTGGAGAAGCTCTAATAAGAGATGAAGGTCCAGCCACTGCAGTGGTGTGAGTGGATCTGTTTGGAGCTGACAGACTTTATTTCTGTATTTCTTTAATGTTCGTCTCTCACTTTCTCATTTTCTCTGTCTTTTTTCTTATTTGTTTGTTCTTTCTTGCTAGTTTTCCTTCTTTGCTGTTTCTCTTCTTCTTCTTCTTCTTCTTCTCTCTCTATATGTCCGTCTCTCACTCCCATTCTCTCTGTCTCTCTCTCCATCTTCCTGTTTTGCTTTGCTTTCTTTCTCTCACTTTCCTTCTCTGTCTCACTCTCTCTATCCTTCCTCTCTTTCTCCCTCCCTCTCCCATTCTCTTTCTCTGTGTCTTACTCCCCCCTCTTTCCCTTTCTCCTCCCTCTCTCCCAGTCTCCATCTCTGAATCTCTATCTCCCGTTCTCTCCTTTTTCTCTTTCTTTCTCTCTCTCTTTTTTCTTTTTCTTTCTCTCTCCCTTTTTTCTCTTTCTTTCTGTCTCTTTCTTTCTCTCTCTCCTCCCTGTCTCCCATTCCCTTTTGCTCTCTCCTCCCTCTTTCCCATCATCTCTCTCATCCTCTCTCTTCTCTCTTCCCTCTCTCTTCCTCTGTCTTCCATTCTTTATCTCTCTCTCCATCTCCCTCTCTCCCATTCTCCCTTTCTCAATCTCTCTCTCATTCCCTCTCTCCCTCTCCCTCTCTCTCTCTCTCTCTCTCTCTCTCTCTCTCTCCCTGTTCTCTCTCTCACTCTCTCTCTCTCTCTCTCTTTCTCTATCTCCCCAGCCTCTCTCTTTCTCTCTCTTTCTCTCCCTCTCTCTCTCTTGTTTTCTCTCTGTATCAAATCAAATCAAATATGCTTTATTGCCATGATAGGATATGAGACCTATGTTGCCAAAGCTGTACAATATATGTTCAATTGAATTATCATTAAAGTATACATGAATTATAAAAAGTTCATAAGGATAAATAATTAAAACAAAGCTATAAATTATAATATTATATAATTATATTATGGAATTATGAATACGGTAATACATATAAGCGTTAAATTAATATGGACATGCAAAAAAACCCCAATAAAATAATACTAATACTACTAACAATAATAACAATAATAAAAATAAAAAATAACAGACAGTACAACTGTATCTCTCTCATCATCTCAGTCTGTCTCTGTGTCTCTCTCTCTTTCTCTTTCTCTCTCGGACCATTTTGTCGCCTCACCTTTGTTTCTCATGCTCGTCAGGAAGTGCAGAGAGTGACTCTCACCAGGACATGAAAGCTCACTCTTCACGTATTAAAGCTCTCAGCACTGCCACTGTTCTCTAGCGGCGCTCAGACCCACAGAGGCTTTAGCATTCAAAGCTGTGACTTTACTACAAAAGTGAACAAACAAACAAACAATAAAGACTCACAGAAAGTCTCTCAGCAGTCAAACTTCTTCGATTTACAAGGCAAAATCAGTTAATTAATCTGCCAGTCAAATCAGTGGGATCAGAGCCAGGAGACTGTGAAGGATATCAGCGGTGCGTTTTTGAGTCCTGTGGATGCTGTGCACTGCGCAGAAGAGCCGGTCCTCGGGGGTAATGACACTTCAGGCCCGGGTCAGGAATGAATGGGCTGCAGATGGGTTTCAGAAATTGCAGTCTCAAATAGCACTTGATGACATCCTTTAGTAGAATCAATGAGAGTTTGTATACACTGCAGTGAGGGGACTGTCAATGGCCAGTTCTGTTCTACAGAGGAACAGTTACAAGTCAAATCAATAGGGAAAAACTGTTTTGCGCGCCGAGTCGTATGAGCCACAGACGTGTGTTTTCCATAACTGATTTTTGTCCTCTCTGTTTTAGGTACCGAAAATCCACTGGGATCTTTCAACCAAGCGTGTTCTGACCATGGACTTTGAGGAGGGAGGGCAGGTCAACGATCGAGAGTACATGAGAACGCACGGCATAGACGTCAATGAGGTGAGAGAGCGCGTCTCGGGTCTCTATAAGCAGTTATAACTGCCTTGCGCAGCTGATCTACTTTCTCTGTCGCCCAGTCGATCTCTCTCTGTCGCTAATCATTTAAAAGTGCCCATGAATGTTAATGAATCAGTCGTGTTTTTATGTATTCTCAAAGCATTGGCGGTTTCTCTCTCCCAGACTGCCCAAACAGACGTTCGCTTGACGTATCGCCAGTCTTAATCCCATTCTGTTTTTTCTTCTTGCTCTCAGATGAAAACTGAATTAAAAGAGTCTCCTTTTCGTATTAATATTGCAGGACATTTTTTTTTTTCCAGTGATGGATGTTTTTCGTCCATGGTCTGTTCCGCTCTGCCGCCTCTCTCAGCGCAGGGCTCGGCCCCAGAGTGAGTGCAGTTTAATTGCCTAAGGTGAACTCGTTACACAGTGACTCTACTCAGTTTTTGTACATTTTTGGATGGTCACAAAAGTGACTAAAGCTTTTTGATAATCACATAAGCTGCTTGCTAACTATAGATGTGATAGTGTTATACAAGGGGAAATTATGGGTACCTGCTAAAAAAAGTTATTTTAATTACTTAAAAGCCTTATGTGGGCAGATAAGTGTATAAAATAATTCTAATAGGAGTTTTCTCCATTTCATAATTACATAAATTACATTTTTCCATTAAATAATTACAATTAATTAGTAGCTAGCTGTAAATAAATAAATAAATAAATATTAGATGAACAGAGCTCCGTTGATTCTATCATAAAATTAATATCCATAATACCTAATATTTCAGAAGTGAGAATCACAACTCATGGTTGGTAAATTGTTGTTGACAAAATACACAAAATATTTCATACAACATCTAAAAGTACCTTTTGTTGTCTAATTTAGAGTATGTGCATCTCAACTGCACCCAGAACACATTGTCATTCTAATTTTCTGAATGGAAATGTAGAGTCATAGACTGAGAGGCAAAGCTTATTCTGAAGTTGGCTTCACTAAAATGTTACTAGAATACTGAGTACATTATTATATACATTATATACATTGTAAAAATGCAGCTTTTAAACTTACTTTTTAAGGTTTAAATAATGCAGATTTGTTTTTGTAATTTTCCAGTATTTGTACATACATAGTTAATACAGCTGCACATTGCACACATTAAAGGTAGTCAAACCAGTTCAAGTTAGGCATGAAATCTCAGTATTATTAGTGTGTGTAGAGTCACTCTGAACTGAGGTTTTTGTTTATTTGTTTTTATGTTGTAGTTTTGTATTTCTAACTTTCTTTTCTCAGACTGGAATACTTTCACCACCAAGCCTGTAATAGTTACACACTCCAGTTGAACATACAGCTGGTTTAATCATGTTCTGATGAAAGGCTGGTAGCTCTAATGCTGGCATTGCAGATCTTACACATGATTTTTGAGTTTTTCATCTTCGCTTTAAAGTAGTTCCACACTGCGGAAATTTAATCAACTGTTAACTTCTGAAAATTTGCCTCACTTAAACAATTTGTAGATAATGTCTCTTTGTATCATTTAAAAGAATAGAATAAATAACAGTGCTGTAAAACAGCCTTGATTATACAAAAAAAAATGTTCCACTTACCCCAGCTGTAGTCAGTCAGACGTATTTGGTGTCCAAATTGTGCCTCTTCAGTTTAGCACCGGCGCTTTGAGGGTAAAGTTGCAAACAATCACTAAAAGTCAATAGTCACCCAAATGTTTTCCATAAATACATCTGCAAAACTTCTCAACAGCCTCCATGTCTTCATTGAGGTTGCACAGACTTGCTGATGTGGTTTAGGACAGTATAATTTACCATAAATTATGACAGTGAACGAAACTTCACTGTGGAGCTGAGTGCTGTAGGCAGCCACTTTAGGCAACAGGTGCTGTGCCAAATTGTGACACCCTTTCAGAACCCAACTCCCCTTCACATACATGCATGTCATACATGTAGACATATAGACACTATATACATTCACAATTTTTAGAGCTTCTGTTTAGAATTTTTAATTTTGTAGTTCAAGATAAACAGTTTTTTATAAATAGAAACAGCAGAAATTGCATATGCAGCATTCAGCTACACGGTGAGGTTTCGTTAATTTTTATAATTAAGTCATAGTTGATAAAGGCTATATTTGGGTGACTATTGACTTCTAGTGTTAGCCTCGTAGCCCCGACTAAAGTAGCAAAAGTTGGACGCATGTCTTGGCTGATTGACAACATCTGGACTAAGTGAAACTTTGTGTAAGGTCCCCTTAATATAGGATTGGAATTGGGTTGAGTGCAATATAGCCAGTAATGATCCATGTATTGATCAGATCTGATACCAGTTCAGACTAAATCAGGACATCCCTGTTTAATACCATATTGTTATTACTTTCATATTGTAAACCGTACATACAGTGTACCCTGCCCTGAATACTCAAATAACAGTTTTGTCTCAGATGCCAATCCATAGTATTGAGACAGCGGTGGCCAAAACAGATGAGCTGGTGTGTGGCTGGTGTAGGGAGGACAGGAACGATAAACTGGGGAGGCAGAAACGAGGCTCATGTGGGGCCCAGAGCAGAACAGAGAACAGATGCTAATGGATTATTGATCGATAGGCTGGTGTCTGTTCACACAGGGGTATTTTGTGAGGAGATTGCCAGTGCATTATCATTTTCTTGTTATTTGATGAAGGTGGGAGTAAGCAAGAGTTATCTCTCTGTCAGATAGCTGGGGTGAAGACACAGACCCAAAAAAAAAGAAAAACACTTCACTCCCCAAACCCTGTATTCACACTTGTATGGTACTCTCACTGTTTCAAAGGGAAGAAAAGTCTAATCAGCTCCAGTCCTGCTCCTGTTCCAGCCTTATCTCCAAAACTTCACTGCTGCATTGGGGGACTGGTATCTACGAGCACAGGCAGATCTCAAAATGTGCCTTGATGCAACTGCGGAATAGACCCACAATGGGTGTGAAATTAACGTTCGACACACTTAGGATACACAAAAAGCTGGAGTAAAAACAGAAAATGAAAGTTCAGTGATGAAGAGATGGAGGTGTTAATAAATTAATTTTCCACCCAGCTTTTTACTCCAGCTAAGAACTTAGAGTTTCTGAAACAATGACATGGGCTGCACATGCACTGCAGCCACCTACATTCACATCCCTGATCTTGAGCGTTGAAATAATGTTATTCTGCAGTTAAATATTTTTTCAGCACATCACCGTCTGGCCACTGTGTCTTCCACCATTGTTAAAAGACGTCTCCCAACAACATGCCTTCGAAACATTTAAGCTCATTTACGCCTGGCTTTAAAGAGTAACTATATTTTCAGCTAAATCCTCCCCTGGCTCAACTTTGAAAAATGCTCAAAAATGGGAGGGGCATGCTGGGAGGGGCACTGCAGTGATGTACGGGTTTGGAGGTGGGGATGCGAGGGAAACCGGGTGGGCTGGGCTGCTGTGTTTTAGAGATAGTGTACGTTGGCTACCAATCAAATGGCACTTTTGCGACTGAGAGGTCTTATAAGGTTGACGATTTTTCTCCACTACCATCCCATCTTTGACGAGGGAAGGTGTTTCTGATCAGGCATTGCGTCTTGAGCCTTAACAGTATGAGCCACTGAGTCAAGCCACCAAAGAGTTAACATAGTGGCAGAAAATGATTAGCAGCGAGCGACAGAGGCGTCCGAACGGTAGAACATTCCCTAAAACTGTGATAGCTAGCTTCTGATTATCTGCACAGCATGTCCATATTCAATATATCCTGAGTCCTGATTTCTTAGATGCGCTGAATTCTGAACTAAGTTTCATTCAGTTATACATCAAGGTCGCAGACTGCATCACCGGTCATCCAGGAGTTGCTGCAGTGGCCCTAAATCTCTCCAAGCTGTTCATGGCACTTACCGGTGCTACATCCAAGTCAGTTCCCACCTCAAATTCACGTTTCCCTTCATAAGTCGAACACGGACGCGCACACTCACTGAACAGAAATCAACAGCAAGCAACACTGGAACTACGGAAAGCGGAAAAAAAGTTAGAGAAAGGCTGTACGGACGAAAGGTTGACACAGTCGGTAACAATGGCCATTTAACGTCAACCTTTCCTGAACCGTTTCGCTTTCCGTAGTTCCAGTGTTGCTTGCCGTTGATTTCTGTTTAGTGAGTCGCGCCTGAGGGTCTGAGTTGTGAAGGGAAACATGAATCGGATGCAACACCAGCAGCTTTAAGGAAACTTGCAAGAATCCTCACTTAATCTGTCCAACAGCTTTATTACAAACTAAGCTTAGATTAATTGGTTTATTTACAGTTGTTACAGACATCTGGCATATCGCAGCCTTGTGAGGTGGTGCTGGGGGTATTTAGCTCAGTGCGTGAGTGTGGTTATCTCCTCACTCTAGGCTCCTGTGCTTTCATATTTATGAGCGCAGCACAAGTAGGGTGTCATCAGGGGGCGGTTACGTTGTTTGACTGATTTGCATACTGTGACGTGTCTTCGTACTTCGGCATCTGCACCTATGGCAGAGTTGAACCAGAGGGGCGCTGCAGAGGCAGAACTGACCATGATAAAAATGATATTTTTACAGTTTGGAAAGATGTGTTTACATTTTAAGCAAGGCTGGTGTATTAGCAGTGCATTTCAGCTGTTAATAATAAATAAGGGTGTGGAGTGACACAGCAGCCCCACCAACCCAACACACATTTTGTGCCATCATCCCTTCAAATCCATGAAGAAGAGAAGCATAACTGATTGAGCTTGTGCAGCAAAAAGTCCTCAGTAGGGCTGCCCAGTATGGACATTTAAAATGATGTACAATAAAGCTGCCATATCTCACAATGACGGTATGAGAAACGATGGATTCGGTGCCTCTAACTGGATGTGACGCAAGTTCAATCTTTTTTTTTTGGATGTGTAAACAGAAATCAAACTAATCTCTCCTTTAAGTAAATAGCAAACGCTAAAGTACAATAGCAAAATTCGCTACTGTGCAAAATAAAAAGAAAAGAAATA